TTCAGCTCTTAGCTATCTATGTGGGCCATCTTCTGTAAGTGATAGTGGGGGCAGCTATCTTCATTTTGTAACCCCTCATGGCATTGAAACCAAAGTCTGGAACTGAGATATTTGTTTCCTAAATCAAGGTTTAATCAAGCAAACTTAGATGGGTGAATGGCCATCAGAGTCTGATTAGAAGTAGGTACTTAACTGCAAATGTTGATTTTTTTTTTAAATTGTCACAGTGCTTATTTAAAAAATTTAACTATAACATATCATTGGACCTAGAGGGTATTATGCTAAGTGAAGTAAGTCAAACAGAGAAAGACAAGTACCATGTGATTCCACTTATGTGGGGAATCTCAAAACAAAACAAACAAACAAATAAATACAGAAAACTGATGGCTGTCAGTGAGGAGGAGAAGTGGCCGGATGGGTGAAACAGGTGACAGGGTTTAAGAGGTAAAAATTTCCATTTATAAAATAAGTAACTCATGGGAATGAAAAGTACAGCATCAGGAATGCAGTCAATAACATCGTAATAACTTTGTTAGGTGAAGATGGTAGACTTACCATGGTGAGCATTTCATAATATATATTAATGTCGAATCACTATACAATACACCTGAAATGACTATGCTATTATTATATGTCAACTAGACTTCAATTAAACATTTTTTAAAGAAACAAAAAAGTCTATAAAAAGATAAAATATGGGACACCTGGGTGGCTCAGTGGATTAAAGCCTCTTCCTTCGGCTCCAGTCATGATCTCAGGGTCCTGGGATGGAGCCCCGCAGGGGTTCTCTGCTCAGCAGGGAGCCTGCTTCCCCCACCCCACCCCCTGCCTCTCTGCCTACTTGTGATTTCTGTCTGTCAAGTAAATAAATAAAAATATTTTAAAAAAAAAGAAAAAAATATATATATACAATGTATCATTTATGAAGAACATGAGCTGTTATGTCAAGTATTAAACTGTTTCACATGAGCTAAGGAGCATTGAACATGGTTACAAATGTATTTTTGTTAATACTTTAAATGAAGCACATGGAATATATACATCATTTTTGAGACAAATAATTTTTTTCATTCTTTCAAAATTATATTCATTTAATAAAAACTCCAGGCCATATGCTAGTGCTGGGGCTATGAAGAGGAATGAGCCTAAGAAATTCCCATCAGAGTGGTAGATTAGAAAATTTGCAAACTACTTACCCAACTGCTATAGTGAGGTAAGCCTTCGAAGTTAAGAGAGAAGAGCTCCAGTGGCCCAGTTGAAGGTTCTTGGGAGGTAGCAGGAGAGGGAGAAAGGGAAGGTGGGGAGAAGGAGGGGGACAGATACTCCATATTTATGAAAGTCCCTCCTCTTTTTTTTCCATTTTAGAATCATTTCAATTTTATATTGAAGGCAATGTAGGGTTTTCAGCAAGGAATCAACATAGATTTACATTCTAGAGAGGGTATAAAGGGTGGCTGGAAACAAAACTGACTGAAGATCATAGGAACTGGGGTGGTCGTACTGAATCCAAGGAATCCAAGCAAGTTCCTGGGACGTTAACACCCCACCCTGTCCCAACATCCCATCATTGCACGCAGGCCGCTCCACCAGCCGTGCTATGACTTTGGACAATGACTTTCCTCTCTGAAAATTTGGGCATGCTCACACAAGATCCAAAAGAGTGCTCGTTCAGCACCCTTGAAAATAAGATGACTAAACTGAGGGGCTATTTTAACATTTTCCTTGTATATAAAACTTTTTCTCTCTTTGTTGGTTTGGTTTACAGTGAAGAATGTCAGTTGTTTTTACTCTTAGCTAAGAATAGAGAAAAATGAGTTCAGGAATAAAAATTCGGGCCAGGCACAGAGAAGCACGTTACCTGGAAGGGAAGACCAGTCAGCAACAGGGCATCTCAAAATAAACATTTTGAGATACTTATCACAAGAAAAATTCCATGTTCCTGTGGAGGATTTACCTTGGTAATTGCAAACTCAGTACTTTTATAGCAGAATTAGTTACTAATTTTCCTGTCTAGCCACCCCTCCCCCCATCCACCTTTATGTTGTTTCTATCACTGATACAACCTGGAAATTTTTGCCTGTGGAAATTCCTGCCCCTGGTACACCATCATGGGGGGGGGGGGACTCTTTTAGAGATTTAAATATAACCGGATAATCAATGCCCTGTTGTAGCTCGTTTTGGTTCCGACTGCAACTATGACTGGATCAAAACAGATCTAAGGGATTTATCTCTAATCTGAAGCATTCCAAAGAGATTGATTTGAAACTTCCCTAAAATCTCTGAAAGTACTCAGCTGGAGAAATGGCTCAGGGTCAGGCTTAATCCCCTTCTTCAGTGTTCCCGAATTGTTGCCCACAACTCAGGACAACAACCCAAGGCATCAGAATCACCTACGAGAAAGTAAATATGCAACATCCCTAGCCCAGCCCAGATTCACTGAATCAGAATGAGGACCGGTATAGGGAGCAGTTCAGAAGGGCTTGTACTTTTCCTGGGTAATTCTTGTGCAGATAAAAATACAAAAAAAGAAAAAAAAAGGAAAAAAAAACTAGAAAGATGAGTCATGCCTTCAATGATTTTTAGGATAGGTAAATTGAGGTAAGTGCTTATCTTTACATGTTATATGTAAATTAGTAAATTACATGGCATGTTTATACCCAGCCTTGAAGGCAGCCCACTGTGTGTATGCATAGCAGAGTTTGACCTCATCATAGAATGCTGGAGGTCGAAGGTGCTATTAGAAGTGGCTTTGACCAAGCCAAGGAACAGGAGTGAAGCCTTTTCCAGGTATACAAGGCTAAGTACTGGCAGAGCCGACTGTGGGCTGAGTTGTCCCACCCTACCATCTTAAGACATTTCTTTTTGTGATCTGGGTATTCATGGGAAGAGAAAGAGCAGAAATAATTTTGTATGTTTATGTGTGTATATATGTATATACAGCTCAATGCAGGAGTTGGTTCCCCCCTCCCATCTTCAATGTAAAGCTGCTTTCCATTAGAGTATTAATTCAGGCATTCAGAGAGTCTTTCCCAGGTGCAGGCAGTCCCAGGCACCTCCTTTTCTCCATGGTCTCAGATAGCACTCCGTGGGCATAGCATTTCAATCATTGCTTATTCTCTCGTTGATTCTCATCTCTCTTCTGTTCCACATTGTTGGCTCCTTGGAGGCTGGCCCACAGTGGAATTTTTTTCATGGTTCCAAACATAGCTATGACACACCATAAGTGCTTGAAGAATGCATGTGAATTTAATAGTTGCCCATTTTTAGAAAATAAGAAAGGTAATGGTGGATGTTTCTAACTTACACAGGTGCTAGAACTTATGAAACTGCTCAGACTCACAAAATCACTGATAGCAGGTGCTTTGGCAGGGTAGGGGAGGAAAATCTTTTCTTCTACCCTCTTAGGTTTCATGCCAGAGGCTTGTGAATTAAACTGACAAAAGATAAGTTAACAAAAGAATAGCATATAGCTTTTATGTGATGGTAATATTTTTATGTGCACAGGGAACTCACAGAAAAGAAGTGAAAAACCCAAGGAGGTGGTTAGACTTGGGGATTACATACTATTTTTAAAAGGGGCAATAAATTATGGTGAAGGGACTGACAGGGAAAAGGGGGTTGGGGCTTGTGTGTGGTAAACATGTGAGGGGAAACTAATGGTAGATAAGAGTTATTTATTAAGGTATATGTATGCAGACTCATCTCAGTACTGTCTCTGTCCCTGGTAGTAAGAGTTTTTCTCCTCTTCCAGGTATATGGGAAGGAAGAACACCTTCTCAAGGGGCATAAATGCTTTGCTTTGATGCAGATCAAGAGAGGGCAGAGAGCACATCTCTTTTCTCAGTTGCCTTCCCCTCAAAATAATCCTTATACCAAAGTGGCATGTTTTGGGGTAGTATATTCTCATCCCCTTCAGCAGCACACATGGAGCTAAAACATTTCTGGTCTAGACTGTTAATTCTAGAAACCTATGCACACCCCAAAAGCAGAATTCTCTAAGAGAACTAAAAGAACATCTTAGTTCTCTGTGCTTTGCACTTGTAAATTCATCTCTATAATCAGGTACATGACATTAATTCACAATACTGGTTATGACTTCAGTTTTCAAGTATAAAGGTAACATCTCTGCTTATTTTTTCCTTGGTTTTGTTTTGCATTTTTTTCTACAATTCTATTATAGAAATTTTTAACCTTGCAGGAAATTTGAAAGAATTTTTCCCTTACCTTTACTTAGATTTAGGTTAGAAACTGCATTTTTCACATTTAATTTTAATATGAAAATCAGAAAGTGTCTTGCTTGGTTTTTAAAATAGTTTTGCTTGAACAAAAGCATTTTATAAAGTTGGACTGAGATGTTATCTTTTCTTTTAAAATATTTTATTTATTTATTTGACAGAGAGAGAGATCACAAATAGGCAGAGAGGCAGGCAGAGAGAGAGGGAAGCAGGCTCCCCACTGAGCAGAGATCCTGATGCGGGGCTTGATCCCAGGACTCCGGGATCGTGATCTGAGCCGAAGGCAGAGGCTTTAACCCACTGGGTCACCCAGGTGCCCCTTGAGATGTTATCTTGATGAATCTCTATTCTAAAACCAAACAGCCACCAAAAGAAAGAACCAAGGGAGGGGCACCTGGGTGACTCAGTTGACTGGGCAGCTAACTCTTGATTTCAGCTCGGGTCATGATCTCTTCTTATTTCTTTCAGATCTTTCTGAAAGATCTTTCTTTCTTCCTAGATCTTTCAGATCAGATCTCTTCCTATCTACAAGTTCATGAATAGTTTTAAGACATGAAACATTTCCACTGAGAAGGAATAAAAAATTTCCTTATTGGTAAAATTTTAACAGTAATATAATAGAGGCAACATAGCCAAGTGGAATCAAAAGGCAAAACTGAAAATAAGAGAAAAGAAGGAAGGAAAAGAAAATGAAAGAGAAAAGAAGGAAGAAAGAAAGTCTGACATATTTGGGGTTGGAAGCAAATTGTCACAACCCCAACTCACATTCACTCAATGGTTTCAGCTGAAATCTGAAGGCACAAAAAGAAGAATGGAAAAAGAGTATTCGTTTCCAGTTGACCTTGATTTCAATAGACTGTGTAATCCAAGGTGTGGGGTCCTGTGTTTAAAGAAACAAATAGTTCATTCTCAAAACTGAGAAATACCTGATGTTACTACAAGCATCAGAGAGAAATAACTGTAAAATAGGAAGGATCCTAAATGGAGCACAGGATTTAAACTCATCAGTGAGACTCAGGCATTCCCATTGGATATAATTCTCCAACTGAAATGAACGACTCCTGTCTACTGGAAACGGATAAGCAGGCTCATTTTTTCCAAAGCATCCCCCAATTCCAAATGAGGCATTGGTCTAGTTTGCCATTACTTGTTTTGACAGAGTCTTCAGACCGCATGAGATGATGTATTATTAACTAAAAGAAATTTTGGTGTACTCTGAGTACCAACTCTCAACCATTAACCTGAACACTGGTGAAAAAGGACTTCAAGATTTGCCAGTGCACTAAACCCTGTTTAGCAGTTTGATTTCAAGGTTGGTTAGCAGCATGAAAACCCAGGTGCAGAATTCCTTTCCATAATTATTGTACTACCATGTACTATTAAATAAAGGTTTACTGGAACTCGGTGTTTCGAATGTAGGGTAACACTGTAGGGTGTCAACAGGCATTCACAATTACCTGAGCTATGTAGTTCACCTGTGTTCGGACAACTGTGTAATTTACACATGTCTGTACTTTCTTTGTGGCTATTCTTATGTTTTTTCCTATTTCATTGTCCTTCCTGTCAAATGTTACGATTTTTGCTCTCTGTATTTCTTGAAGCCCTACCTTCTTTAACTATGGCTGTCTTTCTTTGGCACCTGAAGTTTGCTGTCTATGTTGGACTGATGGTATTGGTTTTCTAACATTAAAAGAAAAAAAAAAAAGGAGCTCTATACGACAGAAGCAGTCTATTCTTGGGCCCTAGTTCATTTTATTTTCAGCAATCATTCTCCATACATATTTCCTACATATCAAGCACATCTCCCTAGAACATAAGCTTGAGTGGATGTGGAATGTTCACTGCTGCATCTCCAGCACTTAGACCAGTGCCAGGCACATAGTAAAAGACTTAATAAATATTCACTAACTCACATTCACTTTTAAATGGAAGCTGGGCATGCAGTCATGAGGAAATGAGATCTTTGGCACTATGGAGCTTGCCTTCTCCATGAGAGCAGCAGTTTACAGAATACATTTCATTGGATGTCATTTTGATAACACATAGTAGGTCTAAGCTACCTGGATTCAAATCCAGTTTCCATTTTTTATGAGCTGGGGGACCTTGGGAAAATCACTTAGTCTTTCGGTACCTTGATTTTCTCTTATCTATAATATGTTGTAAGGATTAAATAGGTTTATAGAAATAGCATACCAAGAGCAACATCTGGGCATGCAAATGTTCGATAAATCTAAGGTATTATTCTTACATGTCATGGTGTTATGCTTGTTGCTCTCTTTTCTTCTATTTCTCTCCATTTTTCCTCCTACCTCACTTTTTTTCCTTCTCCCCTTCTCTTCCCTCCTCTCCTTCAATACAGTCCTGCTAGAGACTCTTACAAACATTACTTAATCCACCATACATGAAGGGGCCCTTGCAAAGGATGGCTCAAAAATACAGAAGTTTGTAGTTTCTAGGGACAGGCTAATGGAATTCCTCATTTGTGCTTTCCTTATGAATGCCTCTTTCTTAGCTTAATCCTGTTACCCAACAATTGCCCAGCTGGACACAGGACCAAGAACCCAGGGATTTTCCAATTTTATCCCTCAACTTGCCTCAGCCACCCTTTGTCTCTTAAGTTGTTCATATGTAGCTTCCCTGTTTAATAAGGGAAGTGTTTACTGAAGGAACCTATGACATTCCCTTGCTGTGTCTGGGTCCTCAGAACAAAAACGCGTAATGTCAAGTGTGTTTGTGAATGTGTGTGCACTCAAGAACACAAACCTTAAAAATCCAAACCGTTTTTAGTATTTCCAGTATGTTTGACTAATGACCTGGATACACGTGCAAAGCAGTGATGAGAAACAAGATTCATATGTCCTTTTAGTTCATTTGGTAAATGAAAATTATGGAAAGACAATTATATATTCCAAATAAGAAACAGAATTTTCTTTAGCCAGAAACATAGATTTGGTTACTTAATGAAAATTGTATAAAACTTCATGTGTTATCTTGAAGTGTAAAGGCCTGATATATACATATATATTTTTTATTTCAGAATTTTAAACAATCTAATCCATATATTAAGCTAACACTCAAGAGTAAAATCCTGTTTTTCTAGATTGGCAATATCTGCAATAGCACGAACATTATGATATTCTTTATAACAGAGAATTTATTTTCAATGCCTCAGGACCTACAATGTTTTTATTATACTCCATAATTACAGAAATGTTTTTTTTTTAAGATTTTATTTATTTACTTCAGAAGAGAAAGAGAGAGTGTGTGTGTGTGCAAGTATGAGCAGGGGGAGGGGCAAAGGGAGAAGCAGACTCACCGCTGAGCAGGGAACACCCCCCCCACAAAATGCGGTCCCCCAAGGACCCCCAAGGACCCTGGGATTATGACCTGAGCTGAAGGCAGACCTTTAACTGACTGAGCCACCCAGGAGCCCCAGAATTGGTGTTTTATGTTGGAAATTATTTTTATGGTTATAGATAATCACAGAGATGTATACATTTTTTAAGAATATTAATTATATACCTGAGATTATTATCAACTGAAATTAAAATAGTGTGAAAGCAAGTAAATTACTTTTTAAATATTTATCACTGATAGTACTATGTTCCATCTCATGATTAAAACTCATACTCGTACACAACTCAATACAAGAAATATTTTTTTTGAAATCTCATTCAAAATGCTCTCTTGTGAGTTACATGAGCCTTAAAGATTACCAAGACATGTCTCCACCTTCCAGGAAATTTCATTTGATGAAGTAGAAAAGGACAAGGACCTAGGTGACTAAATAAAGCCGTAAGATGCCAAATGCCATAAGAGAACTGTCTTGGTGAGTCACCCCATCATTTCTGGGAAGATGAGGAGCTACTCAGTTGAGACCCTAGGGCAGAAGTTCTCCCCCTGGGCTCCCAATGGAAATCATCCGGGCAGCTTTAAAAAATAAGACAACAGAGTTTAGCCTCCAGAAGTCGTGATTTAGTTGGACTGGAGTGTAGTCTGGGACTTCACAGGTTTTAAGAGCTTCCCAGGCAATTCTAAGGTGCAAACAACTTGATTTGGGGTCTCGAGAATGAGCAGGATTTTGATAGATTGGGAAGGGGACCAGGCAGAGGACAGGAATAATAAGAGAAGATGAGAGAGCAGAAGAAAGAGGACCAAAAGGCAGCCAAAGGGAGTCAGTGTGGGAACAATAGGAGTGATGGAATATTCTGGATCCTTCTGTTGACACCATGAGTTCCATCTGGGAATTTGCTAGAATTGCGGGCTTTCGGAGCACACCCCACACTCACTGAATCAGAATTTGCCTTTTAACAAGGCTCTGGGTGATTTGTAGGCACAGTGAGGTCAAGCTAGAACACAAGGTATTATTGTTGAGAACACCCCTGACACGCTGGTGTTTGATGTTAAGGGGTTCTCATCTCTGCTAAGCTTCCTGTGAACCCAGAAGGAAGGTTTTTTTTTTGTTTGTTTGTTTTTTATTTTTTTTTTAATCACTGCCCCATTTTCCAAATGAAGAAACTGAAAACTAAGGAAGTTTTGGTACTTTGTTCACCTAGAAAATAGTGGAGCAGGGATTTAAACACCAGACTCCTATTTCAGTGTAAAGAATACAAAACAAACTCCCTAAAGTGCGCATGCTTTAAGATATAGGATATTATCAGTGCCTTTGAAATACCAGCATGAGCCCCCCAAACTGAGCTCCCTTCCCACAATCTCCCGGCTACCAAATGTGACCTGGAATTTCATTTTATTTTTTTTTCTTTATAGTTTCACTATATATATGTATTTCTAAACAAATATATAAATATACATATATATTTATTTTTCTATCCTACCTTGAAGCATACGTGGAGATTTTCTATTTTCACTATTATAAGCAACAGTGTGCTGAACGCGTTTGTACATCTGTTTTGGTGCACTCGTGTCAGGGTTTCTCTAGAGAATATTCTAGAAGGCTATGGGATATAGTATGCTTATGTTTATCTCGATTAGGAAATACTATGTTCATGTAGGAAAACAGCCTGCAGTGTCTCCTGCAACATATGAGCTTCGGTTTCTCTTGATTGTCACCAACAGCTGGTGCTGCAGGACTTAATTTTTGCCATTCTGCAACCCCCTTTCAATTTTTGTGAAAATGGTGTGCATGATGTCACACCTGAGTTTGGATTAAACTTGCAGTTTTTCTGGTCACTAAAGGTGTTGAGTATGTTTATATATATTTATGGGCTGTTTGTGTTCCCTCCTCTGTGAAATGACTGATCATAACTCTTGTCCATTGTTTTGTCTTTTTCTTATTTATTCCTAAGATATATCAATCTTTTCATTGAGAGTATGTTCTTTTGCATCATGTTTAAGGTACCCTTCCCTACCCCGAGGTCATAAAGAAATATTCTTACATTTTCTTCAAAAAGTTTGAAAATTTTGTCTTTTTCATTTCAGTCCTAGTCCATTTGGCATTGGCCCTTTGAAAAGTGTAAGTTGGAGAAACTTTGCATTGTTTTCTAGATGTATAACCAGTTGGCTCAGCACCATTAACTGCGCATCTGTCCTTTCCCCAGGGATCTGTTTTGCTGGTTCAGTCATATGTAAGCTTTCAATATATGGCAGGTCCAAGGGTGCCTCTGTGGCTAAGTCAGTTGAGCATCTGACTCTTGGTTTTAGTTCGGGTCATGATCTCAGGGTCATGATCTCAGGTTGTGTGGTCAAGCTTAGTGCGGAGTCTGCTTGAACTTCTGTTTCTCCCTTGCCCTCTGCCCACCTCTTCTTGTGCAAACACACACTCTCTCTCTAAGATAAATCAATAAATCTTTTTAAAAGATTATATATAATATATATTATATATGACATGCATATAATATATATTATATATGACATATATAT